GGCTGCATAGGCACCACACTGGCTACAGTGTCCACGCCAGGCGCTGTGGACCAAGGAGGTGTGGACAAAACTCTTACTTCCTGCTTGGTACAATTAATTATTCTCTACGTTCTACATGTTTACAATATGCACTTGGGCCATTATTATAAATACGAATAAACCTGCTATAAATATAAGCCAAATACACTACTTTCTGTGATAAAAAACAGATTTAGAAAGAATGATGAGAGTTCAGAGCAAAGACTCCCTTCTCACCGATGCCTGAAAACCGTGGCTGCCACCAAGGTCGACATAGACAGCATCTTTGTCGTACAGAACACCCCCAACTCCAGAGAGAGGTGCATAAACCAGCTTCTCCTTCTCGTTTAAACCACGCTTCTTCTGCTGTTCAGGAAGAGCGCAGGGGTCTGGGAGGAAGCTGACATCGCTCACAGCAAAATCTCCCACACCTGGAGGACAGAACCCAGGAAGCTGGCTTCAGATAACAAGACAACTGTCGGTAAAAACTGTACCTCTCTAGACAGATGACACCAGCATCAAAGGAGAGGGAATTAGGCCCACTCAACACCTTCACTGGCCAGCACACAGTTAGGTCTCCTTTAAACCCCTCAGCAAGGTGCCTCTCCTTGGTTTGGTCATTTTTCAGTTTTCCCGAGAAATGAAACCATCCCAAGAGTTCTACAAATATAGCATGATTTACAAAAAGAGAATACCTGGTATATGAATTTGGCTTTTATTTTTCAAGTGAGCTCCTCTTAAATAACCGTACAGAGACACCTTTCGGTCACACTTGACGTTTGCTCGGATATCCTCTGGGTTTGTCAAATCTTCCATCCTAGAAAAATAAAATTCAGTCACATGGCAAAGATGACTGTCAAAAGTTCTTGTACCTCCCTTCATGTATCACTGACTTATCACATTCTTCTTCAGTAGAAAACTAGAAAATACAGAAACAAGGAAGCAAAGTTCACCACTGACCAGAAAAAAGGAGCAAACGTACAACTGCATCTCGATTAGGCTCCACGTGATGTGCATTCCATAATACACACAGAAAGGGAAACAGGTCAGGAAGAGCAGAGAACATACTCAGAAAAACCCTCATGGAAGAGGGTTAACATATGATCTGAATGTTTAGTGTGGCTTGGTGCTGTGGATTGAATGCCCCACCAAACTCACTGAAGCTTAAATTATGTCCCCCAAAGTTCCAGGTATTGGAAACTTGGCCACCACTGTGACAGTGCTGAGAGAGTGGGAAATCCTACTGCGATGACTGAAAGGTGGGGCCTTGAAGAGGTGATTGGATTGCAGGTCCATGCCATAGTGAATGGATTAACAATCGTGGTCAGGGGTGTGGTTCTGAGGCTTTTAAAAGATGAGCACATGAGAAGTTCTCTCTCTGTTCCACCATTTTCTGCCATGTGAGACCCCTGCAAAGCCACCACCAAAGAAGACTCTCACCAGATATGTTCCCTGGACTTTGGACTTCTCAGCCTCTGAAACTGTAAGCAATAAATT